AGGAGACTCTATGGTGGAGTGGGGTGGTGGTGGGGAGAACGAGACTTCCGGTCAGCAGAGGTAAAAGGACGCCACGCTAGGAGGAGACTCTATGGTGGAGTGGGGTGGTGGTGGGGAGAACGAGACTTCCGGTCAGCAGAGGTAAAAGGACGCCACGCTAGGAGGAGACTCTATGGTGGAGTGGGGTGGTGGTGGGGAGAATGAGACTTCTGGTCAGCAGAGGAAAAAGGATGCCACGCTAGGAGGAGACTCTATGGTGGGGGAACCGGACTTCCGGTCAGCTCTAGAATTCAACCGGGGACTTCTGGTTAGGACCTTTGTGGTCCTTTGAGCGTTTAAGGTTGCTTACCCCTAGTATAGGTTCTTCTGCTCTCGCAGGGGGCTTGACTAGAAGACCTCCAAAGTCCCTTCCAGCTCATTCATTCTAAATTACAAAAATCCTATCTCAAGGCCCTCTGGGCATGGTGGAGAAAATATGGAACAAATGACCTGGATTTACAATGTCTTCTCTTTTTGTTTTGTTTTTCTTTTCCCCCTTTAGAACCTCCTACAGTGCAAGTGTATTCCCGCCATCCTATATCCGAAGGCAAGGAGAACATTTTGCACTGCTTCGCGGAGGGCTTCCACCCTCCCAAGATCAACGTTACCCTTCTGAGGAATAACGAGAAAATACCCGACGTCAAGTATTCTGACCTCTCTTTCAAAGAAGACTGGACCTTCCAGCTTCTGGCCCACGCTCAGGTGGTTCCCAATGGAAAGGACGAATATTCGTGCTTGGTGGAGCACCAGGCGCTCTCCGCGCCCGCAAAAGTGAAATGGGGTAACTACTGCAACTTGGCATTCTGTTCCATTTCTTCTTCGCCCTCCCCATTCTTCCTCCACTTGAAACAGGAATAGTTAAGATGTCCTAGTCCATGGGTCTCCAAACCTGGGCCCTTTAGGACTTGTGGACTTCAACTCCCAGAATCCCCAGCTACCTCTGCTGGCTGGGGAATTCTGGGAGTTGGAAGTCCACAAGTCTTAAAGTGGTCAAGTTTGGAGACCTTTAGTTTAGCTGGAGAACCCATCATGGGAGTCATCAGTTCTAGTCCAGGGGTGTCAAACTCGATTTCATTGAGGGCCGCATCAGTTTGACCTCGGGGGGCCCTGGGTGGGCGTGGTCAGCTTGACATCACTCGTGTTGCGGGCTCCTGTGGTGGCCCAAATGCTGTGCCAGCGAAAAAGGGCTCCTGAGCTCTGTTTTCGGCTGTGACGGCCTCCTGCAGTGCTTTGCCAGCAAAGATAGAGCTCAATTTTTGCTGGCAGAGGGCTGCAGGAGGCCCGTTGTGGCCGAAAACAGGGCCTGGGAGGGCTGCACATAGCCCTCCCAAGCTTTGTTTTCTCTGGCAGAGACACCGCGGACCGGTGCTTCGCTGTTTCCATGGCAGCCCCTCGGGCCAGATCTAAGCCCCCTGTAGGCCGGATCTGACTCCCGCGCCTCGAGTTTGATACCGCTGGTCTAGTTTCTCTCCACATATTGCTGATCTATTCTTCCTGTTCACCCTCCCATTGGTGAGGGATTCTGGGAGTTGTAGTTCAGCAACATCTGGGGAGACAGAAGTCTCCCACCCTCCCTGTAAAAGGTGCAATGAAGCTGTGTGCTGGCCCCTGAAGCAACTTTCTGTTGAGCCCAGTTCTAACGTCCAGTGAATCATGATGGTCTGTTGGATTTCTCACACGTCCTGATCTTCCATGTACCATCTCTGTCAAACCACGGCTTGCTTTTTCAGCCTTCGAGAGTTGAGGAGTCAGGAAAACAGGCAATGCATGAATTGCTGGAATCCTATTTTAATCATCATGGGGGTATTAATAAATAGAATTATTGCAGACGATAATAAGAGTCTCTTTCCTGTTATCTTACGATTTCAGTAGGCATGTTTATAAAAAGAAAGAAATACAATAAGTTCGCTAAATTTTCATTACTACAGATTAAATTTGTATGCATTCTGGGCAGTTCACTTGTAATCATCATGAAAAGGAATCTGTTACAGATCTGTTGTGGCTTGATATGCTACTGCTGGCTTAATGCATTCAGTAAGGAAAGAATTGGCTTAGAATCTGTAGGCCCTCAATGATTTGGTATGTATTTGAAGAAATATGTGCTGTAAATTTATTCTCTTTGTGTTCCACAGAACAGGACAAGTAATCCAGTAATCTCCAGCAGATAAGGTAAGAGATGGCTGTTTCACAAAAAGAATGCTTCACAGGAAATACGAAAGTGTGTGTATCATTTTAATGTGTTGTATTGTTACTCAGGGATTAGAATAGAATAGAATAGAATAACAGAGTTGGAAGGGACCTTAGAGGTCTTCTAGTCCAACCCCCTGCTTAGGCAGGAAAGCCTACACCACTTCATACAAATGGATATCCAATATCTTAAAAGCCTCCAGTGTTGGAGCATTCACAACTTCTGGAGGAAAGTTGTTCCACTGATTAATTGTTCTGACTGTCAGGAAATTCCTCCTCAGTTCTAAGTTGCTTCTCTCCTTGATTAGTTTCCACCCATTGCTTNTATTTTTAATTTCCAGGAGAACAAATTACAGCTCCAGTACCATATCTCCTTGGAGTTCCTAAAACTGCACCAGTTTCTTCACACCAAGGAGAAACTGCTAATCCATCAGTTAAAGGAAGAGAGTGAAATCCTTCTGCAGGAAATGGAAGGAAACCTAAACAAACTCCAAGACCAATCACAAATTGCCAAAGACACTTTGGTCTGCATTCAGGCTCGGTTGTACCAGCAAAATTCTGCTGGTTTCCTAAAAGTAAGATTGCCAGATTACACAGTTGCACATGGTTTAGGATGATGTGGCTGAAGTATTAAGATGCGTAGGACTCAGGGGTATCTGCTTAGCATGGAGGAGAAGGACATTGTTGAAAACTAAGACGTCAATTAGACAAGTTCAGAGATTAAGCTGGCAGCCCATTTGGCTTTAAGGTCATTTGATATAGTTTTTGGAAAGGAATAAAGGCCCTCTAGGGCCAGAGACCTTTAAAGCTGTGAAGGCCACTGAGAAATTTGAAATCTAATCTTTGCTTTGCTGAGTTATGTTTATACTTATCAATGGGTCCAAAGGGAAGGCAATTTAGAAATGATTCTTCTTCCCTTTCTCTTGTTTCATTTTTTCCTGGCAGGGAATAAAGACATTTGTGGAACGGTGAGTACGAGTCTACAAGGAAATATTATGAAATGATGATAGCAGACTTCAAGTGTAGCAAAAAATATGAAGATGAACCACAAAATCTGGACCCTTCCCCTTGGTTGGCCTGCTCTTCCTGCTGCTGTGCATTCTGTCCTCTCTGAAGGACCCAAGCAAGCATAAATATATAAGGTTCTTCCCTTGAGATTGGGAATCCTAGCATTCAACTCTTCAGCATCTATGTAGTGGTTCTTCTGTGTTGATGCAAACACATGTATCAGTGTTCAAGCAATGAATGAGTTCCAATAGAAGAGAATAGTTGTCTGTCTGTCTGTCTATCCATCCATCCATCATCTATCCATCTTTCTTTCTTTCTTTCTTTCTTTCTTTCTTTCTTTCTNATCCATCCATCCATCCATCCATCCATCCATCCATCCATCCATCCATCCATCCATCCATCCTCTCACCCAATCATTTAAATTTAGTTGCTGCTCATCTCATATCCCCAACAATTCTAGCTGGAATGAATCTTGTGAATTCATCAGACAATCAACTTTGTTTCGGTTAAGGACCGTAGATTCATTCAGTGATGGAATTGGAGGTGACCCCAGATGGATGACCTACTAATCCAACCGTTGGCGTTTACGGCCATTCTTCTCATGCATGCTTTCTTCCCTCCTTCCGATTGTTGCTTTAGTGTTGGCTCTTTCCAGTACAATGTCCACTTCCTCCAGCAAAATTCCCTCCACTTCCTCGCTCATTTCCCTAAACGAACGAACAGTGAGCCCGATCCTCGCCAGCTCGTCAAACACCTCGTGGGACCTGAACGCGGATGACTTCACCAAGGAGTTGTCCTGCTCTCTTTGCCTCGAACTGTTCCAAGAGCCGGTCATTCTACCTTGCGGCCATAACTTCTGCAAACCTTGCCTGGAGGCCATCTGGAATAAAAAGGGCGTTTTCTGCCCAGAGTGCCACATTAGTGTTCCTGACCGCAAGTTTATAATCAACCAAGCCTTGAAAAAGATGGCGGAGAAGATTAAGACTTTTCACGTAGGAGGCCAGCAGCAGAAATGCATGGAGCATGGAGAACCACTGACTCTCTACTGGAAGCCTCAAGGGAAACTAGCATGCTTCACCTGCCGGGAAGCTCAGGTGCCCAAAGATCAATGCACCCAGTTTCTTCTCATCCCTGACGCAGTGCAGATATATACGGTAAATGATATGCTGAGGGAGGATCCCATGAATGGTCCTGTGGCCCAGTCAAAGAGAAGCCTTTGAAGGCCCTTTAGATGTTCCAGCAGGTCCCCTTTTAATGTTCTGCGAGATTTCTCAAGCTCAGCAACTTGAAGCGGTGTAGACTTCAACTCCCAGGATTCCACAGCCAGCGTGTTGACTCTGGAATTGTGGGCGTTGAAGTCCACGCCGCTTAAAGGCGCTGAGCTTAAACCCTTGTCTTCTGTTTGAAATGACTCGTGTTTCAAGGGTGACCCACTTTTAGAGGCTAAGGGTTTGGGGCTGAGAGAGGTGGCTTTTTAATCTAGCTAAAACGGAGCTGTGACTTCATTTTATGTCTACAGGAAAAGCTTCTCGCCTTGAGACTTCAGCTCAGGTCTATCCTGGTAAAACTGGAGGTGTTGAAGAATGCGCAGGAGGAGAAACTATCCAGTCATAAAGTGAGTATGAACGATGTCAGCGTTCCAATATCTCAGGAGTTGCCACAAAGAAGAGGGAGTCAAGCTATTCTCCAAGGTACCCGAGGGCAGGACAAGAAGCAATGGGTGGAAACTAATCTACGAGAGAAGCAACTTAGAACTAAGGAGGAATTTCCTGACAGTTAGAACAATTAATCAGTGGAACAACCTGCCTTAATAAATTGTGATTGTTCCAACACTGGAAATTTTTAAGAAGAGTTTGGACATCCGTTTGTCTGAAGTGGCATAGTATTTCCTGCCTTAGCATGGGAGTTGAACTAAAGACCTCTGGGGTCCTTTTCCACTCTGTTATTCCTTTAATTTAATAGATACTATCAGTTTGATCTTTTTTTATGGTGGGGGTAGGACACAACACATTTATTCCCTCATTTTGAACCCAAATAAATATACTGCAAGCCAGTAAAATCAGAATCATTTTTCTTCCTTGGTAGCCATTATTAAAAAAGAGGAAATAAGTCTAAAGCAACGTTGCAAAAGGTCATTTATGGTGTAATTATTGTCCCATGGTAAATAACAGATCAACGATCAAAATCCATATCACTAGCGTCAGTTAATTGCATGGACTTTGTTTTCAATCTCTCTCTCTCTCTCTCTCTCTCTCTCTCTCTCTCTCTCTCTCTCTCTCNTGCTTTGGAGAATAGCTTGACTCCCTCTTTTTTGTGGCAGCCCCTGAGATATCGGAAGACTGCTATCATGTCACCCTTAGGGAAGAGATCAGCTTGCTGTCACAAAAGAGAAAGCAGTAAACAAAATGAAACTACAGAGCCAACACGTTTAAGCAGCTTTCACCAGGAAAGAGACCTGTAAAAATAAGAAGAAAGCTGTTGTTTTAGACCAGTGTTTCTCAAACGTGGCCACTTCAAGATGTCTGGACTTCAACTCCCAGAATTCCCCTGCCGGAATGCATGCATATATATATGTATGTGTGCAGAATCCATATGATATACTGTCAAAAAGCGTAGAACACACAATAACCAAAATAATCATAATTAATATTTTTGCTGTACTTTAAAGCAGAGCTTCTTTCAATACCTGCTTATCAAAAAGTCATTTTTACCCAATGTTGGTTAAACACAGTCCCTGCTGTAATTGGGTAGTAGCACTAGCAATAGCACTTAGACTTATACACCGCTTTATTTGGCTTTCCAATCCAGCCTGTAGTGTACTGTACCACATTTCTTGTTTTTTTTTTAATGTAAAAATAATCTTTTCCACCCCCAGATTTGATGAATGCTGGTTTAAACTACTATTTCTGCTGATGATCTTTCTGACTTCAAAAGATGTTTCTGCTTATCACTAATCGAAGAGCTCCAATTTCAACTTTTTAAAGCAAAGGATTAAAGATAGACATCACCTATAAATCATCATTCAAAGCATCATGATTTTATAAAAGGTTATCACTTTCGCTTTATTGCTAGGTTAAATCTTTTAGGAGTTAAGAGTGTTATATTGTGGAGATAAGAAATGAAAAATTGAATATTCTAAAAATGATTATTAATGTTTCCTTTTATAAACTGCTACCTGTCTCAGTTGACAGTCTTACCTAGTTCTTTTTCTCATCCTCTACTAATGTACACAAAACCCTTAATAAAAGTTGTTTAACAATGTTTTCTTTGGAAGTTCTTTGTGGCTTTGAATGGATTCACAGCTGATCGGAATGGTTAAGAGGGTGCTGACTTCCAACCCCACATATCTACGTTTCCTGGTCAAATACATGGGAAAATCCCATGGGGGGGGGAACCCACTTAGGGTGAGGGTTATGTCCCCATGAACTCAGACAGAAAAATGGACACCGCCAATGGATTCGCAGCTCATCGGAATGGTTAGGGGGGGAGCTGACTTTTCCAACCTGTCGTATCTACTTTAACTGGTCAAATACATGGGAAAACCCCATAGGGGGGAAAACCCACTTAGGGTTAGGGTTATGTCCCCATGAACTCAGACAGAAAAATGGACACCGCCAATGGATTCACAGCTCATCGGAATGGTTAGGGGGGAGCTGACTTTTCCAACCTGTCGTATCTACTTTAACTGGTCAAATACATGGGAAAACCCCATAGGGGGGAAAACCCACTTAGGGTTAGGGTTAGGTCCCCATGAACCCGGACAGAAAAATGGACACCGCCAATGGATTCGCAGCTCATCGCTATGCTCAGGAGGGTGCTGACTTTCCCAATCAATCGTATCTACGTTTCCAGGTAAAATACATGGGAAAATCCCATAG